CTCACTTCAGTGTTGGTTCCTTTAATTCAAGTTGGCATTCGGTTTTTGGAATTTAAATAAGTTCTCAGCAAAAAAGTTTGTTTAAAAAAATACATATGTGTACATAGTGCTTGAAAATATAAATTTTTCCCTTACCTTAAACTTTTGAGAGTGGGCAAAAATGATGTTTTGTAATTTAGGCAGAATTGAATATGCGCTATCTGGGAAGACAATATCTACATGTAATATTTATTCTGTTTGTTGGCACTATATCCAAACACAAACACATCTTAAGTGTATTAACAGTGAAACAATTTCTTATTTTCTAAGTTTGCGAATAAAACTTCACACTTAAGATTAAGACATTTATAACAAACATTTTATCAAGAAAATCCCTTCTTCGTTTAAAATAAAAATAAGCGAAATCGGACCAATTTCATACAACCCTGCCTGACATGAAAATTTTCTCTACTAGCCTTAGCCATTTCTAACAGATTTTGGGTCGCTTAGTCAAAAATAGAAACATATATACATATTTGAAATTTAAGAAAACAAGGCAAATAGCAAAATCGGCTAAAAACGGCTAATTTTTTTCTGCAAAACGGCTAACAAATCGGCTGCCGGCTAAATCGAAATTTCTCCGGCTGTTTGCTATCGCAACCGGCTAAATCTAGCCGGAAAACGGCTAAAATGGCAACACTGTCGACAACACTTCAGGGTGGTTCGTATGCAACTTATTTCTTTTTTGCTATTGTTTTCTGTTTTTTTTAGTAGTTGAGTTGTTGTTGTTGCCTTGATTTGTTGTTATTTGTAGCTTTCGTTAAGTAAAATGTTTATTGTCGACGCTTTGCATTTATGTGAGTATATTGAGCTTCGTAACGTGGTAGGCGGGTATACTTAAAATAAAATTTAAATTGCAGCTTAAGAAATAATGGAGTTGAATTTAACAAAAATAAACATTAACTATTAGATAACTCAGGTACCTACACATACATATCGTCGTTTAAAGTACAAAACCGCTTATCAACAAAATGCAAAACCGCGTAGCAAGTTAAAAAAAACTATCCAGTGTTTACTTATTTAATTCACTGAACTAAATGTTTCTTACCGTCTATCTAAATATAAATTATGAGGTTACAACTGTTTGCATTTTCTTAGATGGATATTTCTTAACATTGCTAGCGAAAGTTCTAATGTTGAGTAGTCTAACGCCCGGATCCTTTGAAAACTGCTTTTTTCGACATTGCCTGGCTTAGCAAATTTTGACGTCGTATCTGTATAGTTACGAATTGTATTAAATGATGGAATGACATTAGCTGACCACCTCATGCGACGATCAAAGCTTGAGCCGCGGGGAGAACTTTCCTGAAGGAACCTCTCTTTTATAACACAAAACAAAAAATCGGAGATCGAAATGAACAGTTATTTTCGAAATTTCAATCCAAGAAGTCAGACTGAAAGAATATGCTTGTATGATATTTGAATACAGCAGTGTGATACTTGCTAGCCAAGGAATATTAATCTTGGATGATTTTAAATTTTTATTTATTTCTTTTCAAAAAAAGTCAACAAGTACTCGTTATTTCTTGACCTGTATATTTTCAATCAAAAATTACAGTTGAATTTAAATTTTTTTTCGCTCAAAAATAAAAATAAAAATTTTACTTTTATCTTTTCAGTCCAAGTAAAAGTTAAAATTTGACTTTTTTTTATTAAAAATAAAAGTTTAAATGTGACCTTTATTTTCACGGTTAAAAAGTAAGAGTTAAAACTTTAGTTGTATTTTTTCGATCAAAAATTTAAGTAAAAATTTAATCGCTATTTTATCTACTTGTAAGCGATTAAATTAGCTGTTTGTGGAATGGTAATAAAATAACCGATGCAATTAAACAATATTAAGATCGGTGTAAACAGTTAATTTTAATAAAAATCATAATTTAACCATTAAAAATCGAGTTCTAATTTTCAGATTAAATTTAATCGTTTTTTTATGATTTTTGTTTCTTCCATCAAGAATAATGGTAAGCTTCAATTTTGATTTTCTTAATCGTAAAAGATTTATGGCAGTTTATGTAGTTTCCATTAGAACGGTTATAAATTAGCGATGAAAATAATAGACCAATATAACGCTTATATTTGATCGAGAAAAACTCAGTGTTTGATGGTTATTTTCGGTCCGTACTTCTCGGACTAAATGATATCAATTGCAATACCAGACCGCAGTTTTATTATAGAGAGTTTATCTAGCTAATTTTCTAGAACTAGTATATAAAGCTAATTTTCCAGAAGTCAATAACTTTGCGATGTGGACCGTACTTTCATAAACAACTTCTTTGTACAGTCGAGCAATTGAAAAATAATGTAAATTTTAAAAATTTGTTATACTATAAACCGGGCAACGCATTCTAGTTTAACGCAGTAACTGAGGATGATATCATAAGAAATCTGTCCTCAATAAAATCTAATGCTGTTGGAGAGGACGGTATACATAAGTCTTAGGTTTTTGAAAATTATAGTACAAAACATAGCGCCAACGTTGACTAACATTATTAATTTTTCAGTAAAAACTTCAGCTTTCCCTTATGCTTCAAAGGTAGCGAAAATGATTCCAATTGCCAAAAAGCCATCGGCTATTTTGCCAACAGATTTTCGTCCAATAAGCGTATGACTAGCTCTTTCTAAAATCTAAGAAAAGTTAGTCGTTTTTCAATTTACTGAATACCTTAATAAAAAGAAGCTACTAACTGAATGTCAGTCTGGTTACAGAGCCTGCCATAGTTGTACAACGGCTTTGCTCAAGGTAGTTGAAGACATTCGGCCTGCCTATGACAGAGGTGACTTAACTTTGCCTTAGATTTTTCGAAAGATTTCTACACAGCACATCATTCCATTCTTTTTTTTGGAAATTAAATAATTATTTTGCATTCTCTGCTAGCGCTCTAAGATTGTTTGATAGTTATCTCAGTAATCGTTGGCAGAAAGTAGTTACTAAAAGCAATTGCTCTGAGATGAGGCGCTTTTATTTGCTTTATTTCATTTCTCGTTGAGCAATAGGACCAACTTTTGAACTTAACAATTGGGTAATAAAGCAAAATAGTGGACATAGTAGGTAGTCACCCAAATACATTTGACAAAAAGTAGTACATGAACAAGTTAAATGGACGGATTTGTAAGTCTACCATACCAAAGTCCAAAGTCATATATTAAAAAGTAATTTTTTAGCAAAGAAAACCGACTTTAATTCTCACATAAAAATTTAAGAGTACCGTTAATTTCTTCATGATCCAATGATCGGTACCTCTGAGGTACCACCTTTCCTATAAAAGAATTATGGAAATTGGTTAAAAAAATGTTCCGACGAATTGATAAACTCCTCCTTTTTGTGAAGTTGATTAAAAATTACGAGATCTTTACCTCACGTCTCCCCTTCTACAGATCCTGTTAAAAAAACTGTGGTAAGACAGAAATGTCAGGTGGGACCGCAAATTTAGACTATCAAACCATATATCTGTCTTGCCGAATTTCTTACCATCGCTGTCTTAGCATCAGCTGTCATTTCATAGGTTGGCAACTCAGTTTTCATTTTGCCGCGCCATCTTCATTGGGTACAGATCGATCTGATTGGATTTATGCCATTTTGAAAGTGATATGTCACATGGGAAAACGGGACAAAGTTAAAACAGAAATTTTACAGATGTTAAGACCAGGGACCGTAACGGTTAAGCTTTTTTTTCAAAAAAGTAAAAGAAATAATCGTTATTTTTCCACCGATATGTTTTCAGTCAACAATAAAAGTTACAAATTGACTTTTATTTTTTCGGTCAAAAATAAATGTTAAACTATGACTTAAATTTTTTCGGTAAAAAATAAAAGTCAACACTTGACTTTAATTTTTTCGGTCAATTATAAAAGTTAAAATATGACTTTAATTTTTTTGTTTCGGTTAAAAATAAAAGTTAAAATTTTACTTTTTTTTCTGTCAAATATAAAAGATTCAACATGACTTTTACTTTTTCCGAAGATTACATTCGAAAAGCATTTATGGAAATAGGCACCTATAAGGAGAAGCGCATTGATGTTGATATGGACCTTATGGATTACTGGTAGTGCAAAAAATGTATATATCCTCGACTAAGAGATCTGGCATGTATTATACATCAAGTGCCAGCGACACAAGTCAGTGTAGAACACGCGTTCTCAGCACTAAGCTTATTCTTAGCGATTTGTGATACAATTTGTCGGAGCAGAAATTGGCAGCTATGTATATTAATTGTTAAATTGAATTCCGAATCATTCCTGTAAAAAGGAACTTAACTTAAAGCTTAAATTAAAGAAACTCAATACAATTACAGAAGAGAGAAAACTGCAATTGAAAGGATGTGCATTTTTTATTAAAACATATTGTATTGTGAATATGTAAATTGCTGTTTTGGCCGACACAATAAAAGTCAGAATGAACTTTTATAATTGACCGAAAAAATAAAAGTCAAGTTTTAACATTTATATGTGACCGAAAAACTAAGTCAATTTTTAACTTTTAATTTTTAATCGAAAAAATAAAAGTAAACTTTTGACTGAAAAATAACGTTAACTGCTGACTTTTTTGAAAAAACTAAAACAAAAAAAATAAATCATATAAGATTAACATTCCTCGGCTAACAAGCATCACATTGTATATACGAATGTTAAAAAGACCAATTCTTTCCGACTGACTTTTTTTATTGAAATTTCGAAAAATAACTTATTTTCGGTCCCTGGTTAAGACACATTTAGTAGAAAATGGAGACGTGGGGTTACACCAGTTTGAAAGTACGTAGTGGGAATTTAAAAGTGTTTTTGTTTCTGTAAAATTTCAATGTAGTCAGATAGAAATTTTGCGATTTTCTTGTATTGAGTTAATTCTCACGCTTTAAATTTTGCAACGTCAAGTAATTTGTCAAACATACAAACTAATTTCAGATATCTCACTTTACAAAGCTTATTTGATATACCCAGCACTTACCTTGCGTCTTTGTTGTCGATTTTTAACTTTTTCTTTCCTTTTGATTTTGCTGTCGATAATCACTTTGTAGCAAGAAACGAAACGAAAAAGTCAGCAGAAAAGTAATATTCCCGATATTTTGTAGCTACACGAGCCGGCTGTTATTCTTATTGTTGTTGTTGTTGTTGTTGATGATGGTGATATTCTTTTTGGTAGGTATTGTTGCCATTTGCGTTGTTGTTTTTGTTTATTTTGCGGCCATACTTTCAATGGCTTTCAACTTTGTTCAAAGTATACAAAGTATGTACTTTTGTGTGTAATATGAAAGAGGTGCAAAATGTCGAAAAATTTATGCAAATTGAAGCACTCACACACTAAACAAAAACACAAAAAAAAAAAATTTCGAAAAAATGAGAAGAAATGAAATGAAACGAAACGAAGTTAACGTATGTATATAACGGCAAGTATTCTGAGAAACTAAACAAAAAAAAATAAAAAACTGCGCACACCACGGAAAGTACCAAAAAAGGACAAGGAAACGAGCTGCCAATTGGCTGCTATTGTGTCTCCACAGCCAACGTCTTTAAGTTTAACTGTTCGTGTGCCGGCTTTGTTTGTGCCCCTTTTATGCTTTTCAACTTTATCGTTGTTTCAATATTATTGCCTGGAATATTTTTCCGTGCAAAATCTGCGTGTTCGAGGAGTGAAAAAACTCACCCGCACGCACACACTCACTTGCTAACTGGGCTTATTCACAAACTTGTGTGATATATTTAAAAGTGTTTATTTGTAACCGTAACGTATGCCAACTGACCGGTCGACCGACAGACCAATCGACAAACAGTGGCGTGCGATTTCGTTTAAGCTGAGTTCTTACTTACTTATTTTTTGGTGGTGTTGTTGTGCCAAATTTGCACCTTATATTTTAGTTTATTTTTTTCTTTTACTTTATTTGTATGTATTCTTACTTCTTTTATAAAAGCACACCAGCTGTACGTACATACATATATGCCACACAATCAGCGCCTTTAAGCCAGTGTCGAGTTAAGTAAGGTGCGCTCGAAAATGGGAGCAGCAGCTTGCCTTTAAGCACCAAAACCGAAAATCCAGCAAGTTAAACGAGTAACTAAACTAAATGAACATTGTAAGAGGAAACTTTGTAATGTATACGAGTTATTCTTAATTTGTTTTTGCTCAACTCGTTCTGTTTTTTTCTCTTTCGCTTTGCTCGCTTTGTTATTCGTTCGCTATTAAATTCTCGCAAAATAAACTTGTGGCTGTGTACAATAAAGTATCAGTTACAGGTTCATATATAGGTATATATTTTTTTTAACTCACGTGAAGCTGTGTTTTCTTTTTGTAACAAGTAAGTAAGTTTATATTTGCAAGTACGTTTGTGTACTGTAGATTTTTGTGTTCGAAGGAGTATTTAAAGTTAAAATGGCAATTTGCAATCATTCGACGCGGCGACGCTGGCTTTTTTACAGACACTGCACTCTTCTATGATCCACCTACAAAAACAATGCACTTTGTATATGACGTAGGTATGCATGTACATACATACATTTGTACGCAGGTACTAGTTGTCGATAGCGCTGATGCTGCTTTTTTATAGCGTTAGTTTGCTGGTGACTCCTTTTAGTTTTTTTTTATTACATTAATTTCACGTTGCTTGCGATTGTGTTTTTGTAGTTTTAGTAACTAGATATTTGTTTGTATTGGCATTTCGTTTATATTTTATACATAGTTTACCGTTTGTATGTTCGTTGTTATTTTTGTTGTATTAATGAGTATTGTTTTTGCGTTCGANAAAAAAAAAAAAAAAAAAAAAAAAAATTATGCAGCCACATTCATTACGACCAAAGTTGTTAATGTTGAGTGTGCTTTCTCACTTCATTTAGCACTAAAATTATAAGTTATTGCTTCGTTTTCGAATTTCTGGTTATTAGTTGATTTACATAAAAAATATACATTAATTTTTAACACATACAGCCGAACGTTTACCGTTAAGTAGGTCAGACCATTGACTTAATTCAACACTTTGTCTTCCATCTATCCATTTAACCGCCAATTAATTTCGTATATAAGACACCCTTAATTACTTTGTTACCACTTTGCGGTACTTAGTTTAAAAAAAATAACTTTTATATGTAACTGGCATGCAGATGAAGGAAATTCGTTTTAGCGATTTAGTGCACTACTATTCGTACACGATCAAAGCTATTTTCCGCTTCTCTTCCGTTATAGACGTTTGAATTGCAGCCCTGCTCGTTCGCGACTGACACGATCATATGCATGGTAAATTCCATATGCGTCAGAAAGTCATCGACGCTAGTTTCACCACACCAAAGTGACGAAGAAAACAAGTTTCTTCTTCGTATTGCCCTGATCGCAGCAGCTTTGGAGTCGGTAAGTGAGTTCAACGAAAATACTAAAGTACAAATGCACAATACATACATACATATACATACTATATGTAAATATATAAATATGTGCATACGTAGAGAAAACTTTAATTTTACTGCACTTCTATTCAGTGAATAGGAAATGCATCACTTTTGGTTGCAAGTATTTTTTTTTTTTCGTGACGGGAAAATATGCAGGATTCAGGATTACACTCTAAAACGAAAGATTCATGAACCGAACCTAATTTGATTTTATTATTGATATTATTTGAATATGTATTAAAATATAACTGTGAAATATTACATATTTAAGTAGGCATTGTGGTCTGAACCGACTAACGGTTGTGATGCTAAGTAACTAATAGGCGGCATACACGGTGCGTCTGACTCGCGAGCCGGTTTGGATGTACATATTAGTTAAAATAAATATGTGGTACGTTACACCGACTCGCGAGTCAGACGCACCGTCCATGGCGCTTATAAGAAGTCTTTCCGGTGAAGCCTTTAAGTATTTAGTTAAGAAAACATATTGCGAATATTTAAAAAAATTCAAATAAACTCAAAATACATTATTTAACATCGCACTTATAGAGCTTCGCAGCTAATTGATGCTAAATGCTTTCTTTTCGTTTGACAGTTTTTACCTAAACTACTTTATTAAAACAAAAATAAAATGGTGTGCATTGTCACCACAGTACCCATCGTCATACAGTAGGGCTATTCGCGATTCGGTGCATAAGAGCTGACAAATTTATGCAATTGCAGAAATATGCCATGGATTGTGAGCGACCTTTATTAAACTGTCATGGTAAAGCTTTTGCAAAACAATTTTTGTGCATCAGCTTTGGTTTTGTTTATGAATGCAATGCATAGCATTTTTATGCTATGGATTTTCGGTATTGCAAATTTGCCAAGCCATGACAAATGCAAATGCGTGTATTTTGTTTGTGTATTGCAAATAATTTGCAATACAAATTTGCAATGCAATGATGCTAGGCCATTTGCACCGGATCGCGAATAGCCCTAGTGTCATACACAATACTCATGTCTATTATTTTTTTCGGCGCTGAACAACGCTAGCACCGCCAACTGAATTTAGCTGCTAGGAATGTAGTAGATGCAGAGACCGTAACCGTTATGAGTGTTATAATAACAAATAATTTTTAGCAAAAAAAACGGTGCTATATATATATATCTCATGATCCACTGATCAGATCTTAACCAGATTAGTAATGGGACCACCTCTGAGACACTACCTTCCCGATGCAAAAAGAATTATCGAAGGTTGAGTCCACAGTTATGCGGTGACATACATAAAAAAATAAAATTAAATAAAAAAAAAAAAATAAAAAAAAATTAAAAAAATAAAAAAAAATATAAAAATATTCCGACGAACTGATAACCTTCTCCTTTTTTGGAAGTCGGGTAAAAATGCAATGATTTTGCAATTGTTGTTTGGTTTTTTGATATTGTTATCGATGTTATAAACGATATGATTATCAATATTGTTATCAATATAATAATCGATATTGTTATCAATATAATAATCGATATTGTTATCGATATTTTTATCGAAAAATTTATCGATATACTAATCGATATTTTTTGGTTATATTTTTCAATATTGTTATCGATATACTAATCGATATTAATGATCGATATTTTTATTGACATACACATTTATCAATATATTTAGCCTGGAAAAAACCCAAACCGAAGTAGCCCCGAGAATACCGAAATATTTTTGTACGCCGTAGCTAGTGAAGCCAAGGTCTCAACATACTTTTGTACGCGGAGTTGCGTTAGGTGAAACTAACTAAATACTTTTAAACTAATTTAGTCTGTTCCTTTGAACTTCGGACTAAAACCTGTGGAACTGTCAAACTACAATTTTACTCTCTCAAATGAGAGTAAAAGGAGAACAGATGCAGAAGTGCATAGGAACGCAAAAAGCACTATTTCCTGTAAAAACGTCAGTCGGCTTGTTTACATGTCATTTGTACAACACTGATTTGGCTGAAATATCACTAACTAATTATTAAAATCTATACATATTCAAACATTTCGTTGTTTCCTTCCATATTTTTACAAATATAAGGTTCTTTGCTTTCACCGCTTTCTGTTTTTGTTTGCAAATGCCAATCAGCGGATCGTTTGACACTTTTCATGAACTTACAGGAAAACAAATTCCGGACTAAATCCTGTAACTTCTGACTAGGAACAGTTGCTCAGT